TCAATTAAAAAAAATTATGTTATTTTTTTTAATAATTATTTTTTGAATTGAATTTTAAAAAGAGTTTGGTTATGGGTTTTGAATATAATTTTCAATAGAATTTTGAGTTATGTGTTTAGTTATGAGTTTTAACTTTTTGAATTGAGTTTTGATAACCAAACAAATTTTTTTATTTCACATATCACATCAAATATTCAAAACTCAATTCAAAAATCATAACCAAACAAATTTTTTACACTCAAATCATAATTCCAAAACTCATAAACTCAAAATACAACTCTATTCTCAAATCATATTTCTAAAACTCTATCAAACGCTACCTAAGGGTTTTTTTTTTTTTTTCAAAAGATGTGTATTGAGAATTGTTTTTTGTTTTAAAAAGATGTGTACAAATTTTTTTTTGATATAATATTGTAGGGGTGTTTTGATGTTCATTATAATAATTTTACTTTAGAATACAATTGTCATTAAAATAATGTTTCATTAAGTGTATGCACATAGGTAAGTAGGTGTGAGAAAATATAATTTAGCTTAGTTTAAATCGAAACAATTAAAACTTTATGGCTTGATTTGTTACAATGATCCAACTTAGTTTTTTATTTTATTTAATTCCCCTTTATATTTTAGTCCTCTATTCTTTTTTTCTTTTTTTCACTTTCTTAATTGTTGGGATTAAGGTGTAACAAATTACACATTTTGGTCTCTTTTACAAAAAGCCATTTTATTGGCTTTTTTGTAGGGACATATTTTTTGAATAACAACACGTGACTATGGTGACACCGAAATGCAGCTGAGGTGCCATGTGTCCTAGTCATGATGTAGAGATAATCTCGGCTAGGCCGAGGTTATCTACAAAAATATCGGAATCCGAGACGAACGGATAAGGGATAAGAGTCTCAGAATGAAGAAGAACCTCAACCTGGATAAAGATAAAGCTCTTAGGGAGTTTATCTTTATCTATTGGAGAGTCCAAGATGAGCATTGAGTGAGAGTCCATTAAAGTTAGGCTTTTACAAGGATCAGGTCAGTACTGACTATAAAAGTAAGGCACCTTTATAGGTCTAAGGTACGCTTTTTGTGTTCTAACTAGTGAGTAAAAGCACTATTTGCTATCTTTGAGAGATAATTGAGTACTGACTTGATCGTCGGAGTACCCCCGGGTGGACGAACCACTGCCGGAGTCTTATCTTTCAATGACAGGTCGTTCGAGTGCAATCTATTTTGCTGGTGTTTTCCAGCTGAGTATCTGTTTGGCAGTGTGGTCAGAAAACAGCACACATAGACTTTAATTAGGTCACATCATTGTGTTTTATATATATATTTTTTGTGCATATTTTTGTATAAAAAAAATTAAAAAAAAAAACTAACTTTTAAGGTGTGACAAATTACACATTCACACCTTAATCCCAGCAATTAAAACTCTTCTACTATTTTTTTACTTTGTTATATAAATTGTGTATATAACTAATTTAATCCCACATACGATAGTGTGTGGAGTACGCCTTTTACTATTTATTTATTTATTTATTTTAGTTTTTTGAACATAACTATTGAATTTGGCCAACTCGTGAATTTGGTAGGCTAAGGTCTTGCTTGGGAATATATTATTTTAAGAATTATTTAATTTTATTGCTAAAAGTGAGATAAAAATTTTGAGATATTTTTTGACTTTTTAGAAAAATAACATGTAAAAAGTAAAGAGAAAAATATAATATTTGATTTTTTTGTATAGTTTGTTGATTTGTTGATATTTTTAGTAATTTTTTAACTTTTAAGCTAAAATTTGATATTCCCGAACGAGGCTCAAGTCCCATAAGGGGGGGGCTTATGGACTGGTCCAATTGACCAGTCTTATTTACTTGTAAGTAGGGGTGGACATCAGTCTGTTGGCCCGGTCAGCCCAACCCTATTTTTCTATACTTTAGGAAGGTTGTTTTAATCTATAGGGCCAGGTTAGGTCAACTTTTTTAGCCTGAAATGGACTGGGCTTGGGTTTTATACTTTTAACTCAGTCTGGCCCGGCCTAACCCTGTCCGTTATTAATTTATTTATTTATTTATTTATAATACTTTAAAATATATATATGTTTTTGATCTAGACTTTATCTTTGTTGATTTTATTAAATCACATCTATGGTGATGTGTTATTGAATTTGTTTAAGAAATCCTTTGATTTATATACAAAATCTTTCAATTTATAATGATGTCACCATATTTATTTAAGAAATATAATGTGTGATTTAATTTAATTATGGAATGATGTAATTTTTTTTTTAACATATAGTTCGATGGGTAAACTTGAGATTTATAATTATTTTTTAGATTGGGCTTGGGCAGACATAGAGGTTTGATGTTAGGATCGGACCGACCTTGAGCAGTCACAAAGTCTCTTATTATGTAGTGTCGACCTGGCCCGAATCCAAGCCAACCCGACTTTTGTCCACCTCTACCTATAAGTCTTGCTCATTATCCCCAAAATACCTTTTCTAACACCTCATTAAACAACTCAATCATCATATCACCGTCATGACCTACCATCACCCACTTCCAAACATCGGCGATCACTTTTGACCACGAATGATAACCTTTAGTGATCTATGACGATCACCTCCGTTAATCTTCGACGATCACATTTGACAACCACTTCTAACGACAATTATTGACGACATTCATCCAACATTATTTCAGCAAAACAATGTCAATCTCTATTATGTCACTAACACCACTACTTCCAGCTACTATATATGACTGTCGGCAACCTCCTGCGATAGTTTCCAGTGATGATTCTTCTCAGATTTGAGTGAATGAGAAAAGGGTGAAGGAGAAGGCTGGGACTATCTTCTTGGATTTGGTGGCGACAAGATAAGGAGATAAATATAAGGAGGAAAGAGACAAATATGTCTAGGATATTTTTTGACTTTTAAGAAAAAATGTGCAAAAGGTAAAGAGAAAACGAGAATATTTGACTTTTTTGTATATTTTGTAGATTTGTTGACATTTTTAGTAACTTTTTGACTTTTAAACTAAAATTTACTGTTCTCAAACGAGGCTTAAGTCCCATAATAAGGGGCACTTGCCTGCTAGTTTTATTGATCAGACTTATTTACTTGTAAGTTTTGCTCATTTTTTCATCTATCAATATCCTCAAAATAGCTTTCTTATATCTTGTTTGGGAATAATCTATTTTAATAACTTTTTAATTTTCTTAACAAAAAACATGTAAAAAAATAGAAAGAGTGATGTGACAATTTATAGTGATTTTTTAATTTTTTAGCTAAAACATATTTAAAACCTATGGAGGGTTTATTGATATTTAAGTTCACTTATTAGGATTGGTAGTAATTATCCCTAGGAGGTATTTTAATAATGGGTCTAGTGAGATCGAATAAGCCTTAAAAATTTTAAATCCAAGGCTTACCTAATGGGCTAATAAAGGAAACTAAGTGAGACCTCTTTTTGGAAGATCTCACAATCCTCAAAGTGATTCACACTATTCATGATGTGTGGGGCCCACTCATCTATGTGTGGGCCCACATCATAAGTGGTGTGGATCACTTTGAAAGTTGTGGAGTCCTCTAAAACGGGGTCTCTATCATTGTTAGCTAATAAATCAGCCACCAGCAAATCTAAGATGACAAGATTTGTGATTTTTTTTTTCCCCCTTAAAACAAAATTGCCTTAATTTTTCATTTTTTTAGTTAGGTTCGCAGGACTTTTCTAACAAGCCACTTGGTTAATTGGTGAGTTGGGAATAAATAATTTGTCATTAGTTAATGGGCCTGATCAAGATGGGTCAGGCTTCAACACAACAAACTTAGCCTGTTCAAAGTACGGGATTAGATCGGATACAAGTTTGACAAACCCACCAGGCATCGGCGAAGTTAATCGCAATTTTCAATTTTTGGTTTTGAGTTTTTAATTTGTAGTTTTTTATAATATTCGAATAAAAATTTATTTTTTAGATATATTTAATTTAAATATACTAAAATAGTAAAATATTTGTAAAAAAATGTGTAAAAAAACAAATATATATATAAAAAATATCAATAGGTCATAATAGTTAGATTTAATTTCTATCAAGTTCTATTAAAAAAAAATCTTAATAAAAAGTCGTTAAAAATAATTTTTTGTGACATTTTGTTAAAAATTGATAATTGATGACTTTTCTTGTCACGATTTTTATAAATTATCGTTAAAACTTATAATTAGTGATTTTTGTTTTGTGATGAAAATTTAAATTTGTCGCTAAAAATTAAAAATTAATAATTTTTTTTGCAATTATTTTTTTAAACTGTCGCTAAAATTATAATTAATGATATTTTTTACAACAAAATTTTTAATTTATCGCTAAAAATTAATCATTAGTGATGTTTTTAATTGTGTTTGATGAAAAATATTATTAATTATCATAAAACCTATTAAACAATAAGTCCATTTATTAAGATTATACGTAAATCTCTCTATAAAAAAAATGCAAATTTTTTTTCTTTTTTTTTTATTTTATAATATTCAGTGATTTTTTCGATTTAAGATTTACAAATTTTATACTGTAAAAAAAATGAAAAAGTATGGATAAGTAACTATTTAAAAATTCTCAAAATCAAATAATAGTTCCAAAAATTGTTTACAGAGATCTACGGTCAAGATGGATTGGATCAAAAGCGGCGGATATCCAAAGGTAGGAACCACAAAAACTACTGTACCACGTGGCAGATTCTAATTGCTCCACTACCTAATTTCTCCTAGTCTCGACAGCAGCTCACACTCCTCCCCACCTGTAATCACCCCCCAATCACACTTCTCTCAACCAATCCCCCCAAAACCCTCAGCCTCGGTCTCCAAAGCACCCGCCTCGGAACACGAACTGCAGCCTCGACCCGAGCCTAAGCCCCTCCCACTGTTCGTTGAAAATTTCGCACTATACTTCGATCACTTTATCTTTTTCCCTGCAATAGCTCATCTTCTCTCTCCTCTCTCTCTCGAATCTCCCGAGTCCTCCTCTCAGACCTCCATTTCCCTCCCCGATTCAAACCCTAGAAATCTCGAAAACGAAGGCTACCGAAAGCTTGGATTTCAGACTTCAATGGTGGACCCCTCAACATTTGTGTAAGTTTTACTCTCTCTTCTCGCAAACCCTAATTTTTTTTCTCTCTCTACCTACCATTTGTATCCGAATATCGATTTTTTGCTGGGGTTTTGGCGTGGTTTGTCTGGGTACAGTCGTACCACAGCTGGTATTATTGTCGTCTTGCGTGTTCTACTTGATTCAAGCGAATTCTGATTTTTGTGTGTTCGATCTTGTTGGAGCTAGTGTTAAATGTTTGGTTGTGGCAAAAAGTTGGAATTTTAGGGTTTTATATGAGTTTTGATGGATCTTATTCTGTCCCTCTCTGTGTGTAAGTCTCTAGCTGTGTATGCATTGTTTTGGTGGCTTGGATTTGTGTGGTATTTGGGTGTGAATGGCATAGGATTGGTTTTATGAGGGTTAGTTTGAGGACAAGGATGAATGAAAAGTGCTTTCTTGATGATTTCCACTAGGAATTGGATAAAATGATCTCTCTGTCTCTCTTCAATGTTGATGAATCTTGATTCACTTATCTATTCATGGCTTCCTTTGTGGTAAGTTAGAAATACAGTATGAGAGGGTTTGAAGTTTAGCTTTAGCATTAGTTAGTGACAAGGAATTTATTATTCCTTCTTATTTTTCCGTCTTTTTCTTGGTTGGGTAGAAGTGATGAAGTCAAAGGGGGAAAGAAGAAAGTGAACAAATAAAGATTATGAAGGTAACAAGTTTATATCCCTTGGTCCCAATTGGGTGAGTTGCGCCTTTGTGGTGAAGGGAATAAAAAGGGTAACCCAAAGAATGAGTCTCCCGGTAGAGTGGGGTAGACGGTGAAGGCAATGTGAGAAATATTCTCGTAATGTCTCTGTTATTATCAGGCTTCTTGTGTTTGAAATTGCAGTTTAAGAAAATGTCAGCATATCTATCAAAACAAATTATTGGTTGCTTAAACTTACATTCCAATTATAAACCATCATCCCTTTTTATTGTTTTCTATTTTCATTTTTAAAATATTATTTTCTTCATTTTGTTGAAAATTTGCATTGAGAATTTATAACATTTTGGTCCAAATAACATTCTGCAGTGCATTTGTATAGCCTATGGCTACATGAATGTGGTTGTTATGTTGTGAAATTTTGGCGAGATAAGTTATTTTGGGTTTTTAGCTCTTCATTGTGTTACATGAATGTTAAGCAATATTTGTTAGCATGTTTCTGGGTGTGGCATGATTATGCACTTGGGTGTTTTGTTTTAATTTTTAAACTATTTTAAAAATGGCAAGCTTTGCAATTCTTCTATATACCGCCCCATGTTTAACAAGTCACTATGATGATTTTTGTTACTCCAATTTTGGTTAGTTTTAGTATGCAATGAACTTATAAACATGGAACCCAACAGATATAAAAGAACATAATAATTATTTTAAGAGCGAATTACACTAACTGTCCCTGTAGTTTGGGGTTTGTGTTACTTTGGTTCTTGTCCTTTCAATTGTGAACATTTGACCGTCAATTTTGAATCTCGTTCCAAATAAGGATAATTGAAGACGTTTTTTCCTTTGCAAACGGAAAATGCTCAATTTCAAGGGTAAAGCTATCCATTTGATAAAATATAAACTATTTTGACAAAAATAATTATAAAAAAGATATTTTTGAATTTTTAAAAATTATTTCTATTTACCAAAGATAAAATTATATAAAAATAATAAATAATTTACATTTTTTTATTTTTTTACTAAATTAATTTTTAGTATGTCTTTGGATGATAATCATGTAATGGGTGTTGTTGATTTTTTGGTTGGTTATCATATAATGGATGGTTATATTTTTTGTTAACATATATTTTTGGATGGTTATCATGAAATGAATGGTTATTAGGCTTTTGAGACTATTTGTGGAATTTTTTTTTTGAAAAAATAGAAACTAATTTAATGAAAATAAATATCAAAAAAAAATTAAATTATTTTTATCCTTCTAAAAGATAAAATTATATAAAAAAAGATATGTGTTTTTAATTTTTTTTACCAATTTAATTTTTAGTTTGTTAGAAATTTTTTCTAAAAATAGATTACGAAAACCAAACCAAACAAAACTTTAAAACCAAGAAAGTGTCAACATTATTCATTATAAAAAAAGACCAATTAGTGTGTTTTGTTTCAGTTTTTCGAATTCATTTTTTTGAAAATTGAGTTTTTTTGTTTTTCGTGTTCTTTTTTATTTTTTAGTGAATATTTTTAAAATTTTAAGTAATTTTTTTTTACTTTTTTAGGTACACCTTACTTAGATGTATCTAAATAGTAAATATTTGTGAAAAAATATTTTAAAAAATTAATAAATACACAAAAATACAAAAAATGTACTGAATTTTTATATATATTTTTTGTATTTTTGGTATTTAGTGAATTTTTTAAAGATTTTTTTCACAAATATTATATTTTTTAAGTGTATTTATGTTAGCTGTGTCTAATTTTTTTTAAAAAAATTGTTTAAAATACTAAAAAAATTCAGCGAAAACAAAAAAAAAATATGGAAAACGAAAAAGTAGATTTTTTTGAAAAATGAATTGTGAAAACTGAAACTAAACAGAGTGAATAGATTTCAAACAACGTACAAGTTAATTAACACAAAATAAGTTGCATGACAATTTTGTCCTGGAAATGGAGAATTTTCCGTTTGCAAAGGAAACAACATCTTTGATTGTCTTTATTTGGAATGAGATTTAAAATTCAGAGTTAAATGTATCAGAATTGAAAGATTAAGGACTAAAGTGGCACAAGCCCTCAACTACAAGGACGGTTAGTGTAATTCGCCCTTATTTTTAATTGGTTATTGGGCCTGGTTGGGGTTACATGGAGGGTTGTTTGGGTTCAAACCTCATCATGTATCAAGAGAAGTAATAAAATATTAATCGATTTTTTGTGGTGTCCTAGATGATATCTCAACACGAGTAAAGGTCATTGTAGACTTGTTAATCTCTTGTGGATTGACCTTTTGAAACAATTGTTGATGGGAGATCATAATTCCAAGTGCATTGATGTGGGAAGGATTTTAATGCTTGTAGAGTAGGGGATATAGATCCTTGTGTTTGTTTTGCATTGAAGGAAGGAATTAATGAGAGGGTGTTTTTGTCTCAAGAAGTCATCTTTTTTTTTTGGGGGGGGGGGGGGGTGTTTATATTTGGGATACAAAAATTTACTAGTATTAAGTTTCTTTTTGGGCTTGCATATTTCCTTCGTTTAAGGAGATTCATATTTTTTATTTCTAGGTATTGGAGAGCTGTATGTAGTTAGATTTTTTTTCTTCTTTTCTTTTTGTTCAGTAGATAGCCTGTTCGCTTGATTGTATTTTTGTCTTTCTTTTATTAATATATTTTTTTTGGTTGATCAAAAACAATAAATAAATAAATACAAAAAAAGAAAAGAAAAGAAAAGAAAGAAGAGAAAAGGTCAGATGTTGAGGGTTTGCTTTCACCTCTTGACGGGGTTTGGCGAGTAATGGATGAACTTTTGAGTTTGAAATATGACTTTGCAGATTATAATAAAAGTCTGTAATCATGTCATCCACTATATGAGCAAAAGATTCGAATAGGAAATTTATCGAATTACTAGATGTAATGATCAAAAAGGTAGGAATCCTAAAAGTGATTAGGATGTAAATTTTCCAAGTACCTGGGTTAATCATTGAAACTGTGGGAGAGTAACTTCTGATCTATGAAGCACGGACACGGACACGGACACGGACACGGGACACGGCAATTTCTAAAAAATGGGGACACGGACACGGCAGGGGACACGGAAAAAAAAAAAAAAAAAAAATTTGTGTTAGATCATTTTTGAATGGTTGTGCTGATGAGTTTGGACTTGCGTTCCAGTTTTTCAGTGAACAACAAAGGCTTTGATGGTTCATAACTGCACTTTCTTAGCAGAAGTCATAGGATTATGGGTTCTAGTTCTACTTTTCTTGTCCCCAAGAGATAGAAGCTATGCTTATGGGCAACCCTTAGTTATGTATAGGTGCTCGAAGAAAGGAAGAAAAAGACATTGATAATTCATCCATAATATGCTCCCTTTGTGTGGGCTGTTTTTTTTTTTTGTTCAATTTTTTATTATATGATGTTTTGAGAAATGTTGATTATCATATGTGATGATCTTTTTCTTTCCTTTTAATTTCTCTTGTCTTCCATTGATATAAAGATGAAGAAAGCATAGCTAGTTTAGAGTTGCAATGAAGAGCTAGATTATGGGCTGTTTTTTTTTTTTTTTTCGTGTGGGCTGTTTTTTTTTTTTGTTCAATTTTTATTATATGATGTTTTGAGAAATGTTGATTATCATATGTGATGATCTTTTTCTTTCCTTTTAATTTCTCTTGTCTTCCATTGATATAAAGATGAAGAAAGCATAGCTAGTTTAGAGTTGCAATGAAGAGCTAGATTATGGATACGTGAAGTTGATTAAAAAATTTGAAGTTTGGTTTGAGCATGTGATTTCATGTCATGTGCATTATGTTGTTGAAAATTGGCTTTAGCATATTGGTTGGACTTGGCAACTTATCACGTGCCCCCAGTGCTTCTCTTTAGTTAAACTGTCTCTACAAAAGAGGCATTCAGGCATTAATAAACATGTGAATGCACATTTCAATTTATTTTCCGTTGTTTTTAAAGAAAACAACTGAAAGTGTACTAGGTACTAGATTTTTGTTACACTTCAAGTTTCTTGATGCAACTTCTTGCACATAAGAGTTGTCGTTTTACCATTGTTAATATCTCTCTCTCTCTCTCTCTCTCTATCTCTCTCATTCATTTGTCCCTGATAAGTATTTTGCTTTGTTTATTTGACCATCTTTGGTTTTTCTTTTTGGACATTATGCAGGGTGAGATTTTGAGGTTGGAAATTGCTTGTTAGAGGACACTCCACAAGAGAACTTTGCTTTCATGCCTGTTTTAGTTATATTGGAATTACCTACTATTGGAAACTCAAATGATTGGATCTCCCATACGAGTGACGAATCTTTGACTTTGTTCATCTATTGAGTTAATTTTGTAAGCACTAACAAATTTTTCTGTTGAAATTCTGGGGTCGAATTATCTATGCCTGGCAACGAAGTTGGAGACAGGCTTCACAATTTTTTTGCTCAAGACAACTTGCCCCAAGGCCAACATCACTCACAGGTTGTTGACGGAAGTTGGCCGGTGCCAAGTAACAATCCGTGGGCTGGAAGCCAGAGAAATATCGGCTTACCAAGTTCCAATTCAAAAAATTACAATCTACAGCAATCAGGTATTGATTATCTGGCTTTTTAGCTGAGTAGTTACGTCAGACTCACTGGCTAATAGACATGACACACAACACATACAAGCTGACATGACAAATTTTAAAAAATGCAGGACACCACACATGGGGAACATGCACAAATTATTCATATTATATGTCATATATATGAATATTTTAGTCAAGGTATAAAAAAGGCAGCATAGCACTAATTCTTGAAGTTTGGAGGAAGGTTATTAGTTTATCTATATTATTTTCTTTTATCTCGGGATATCCTAAATTTATTTTCTTCAAAATTGTAATGTGTTTTATATGTGTCTAAGCAATGGATGTGTGTCCCCAAGTGCCTGAAGTCTGTTCGAGTCTATTTTTTTTAATAAAAATAATAGGATATGTTGGGACGTGTGCCTGACACGTGTTGGGAAGTATTTGATGAGTATCGATGTCCAACACGTTTTTGACACAAACATGCAGCTTATTAGAAGTGTCCATGCTTCTTAGCTAGTTATTAATGGTTTTGTGATGTTTTGATCAATCAACTCATGGCAGCTGAAATTGCTTTGTTGTTGTGTTTCTATCCATTTATTACATCAAGGATTCAATTGTTATTGTAATCTGGTTAAAAATGGATTCTACACTTTTCAAACATAAATCACTTTCTTTTGGCATAAACAGATATTGAGAGAGGGCATAGCAGTCATTCTTTTTCAGTGCAAGATGGCTTAAACCTTACACGATCAACTTTGAGGCCTGAGTTTGCTAAAACTCAGTTTCAAAGCCAACAGCCAAATTTGAATGGCTATATGCATGGACACCAGATATTGCAGACAAGACAGAATGAAGCAAACTTTTTGGGAGTGGATACAGAAACTGATCACCATAATATGAGATCAGGAGGCTTATCTACCTATGAATCACAACAAATGAATGTTACTGAAAATCATAATTCTTCAGTTAGGTCAGAATCATCCGAATCTCCTGTTAGTTTTGATTTTTTTGGTAGTCAACAACAGATGAGTGGCCAGCAAACAGGCATGCTGCATTCTTTGTCGCGGCAGCAGTCTGGGTTCAGTGACATTCAACTACTGCAAAACCAGGTTATGTTGAGGAAAATGCAAGAGCTTCAGAGGCAGCAACAGATTCAGCAACTAGAAGCTGTTAGACAACCGAATTCAGTAAATCAGATTCCTTTCATTACAAAACAGGCATCTGGCGGCCATTCACCTGCCATTATTAATGGCACTCCCATTTCTCCAATTACTGAAGCATCAAATTATCCTTGGGTTACTGAGCCTACTGCAGGTAACACAAACTGGCTGCAGCGCACTCCTGCTATTCAAGGATCCTCGAATGGATTTAGATTTTCCCCTGAGCAAGGCCAGGCACTGAGCTTAATGGGTGTAGTTCCTCAACAGGTTGATCAAACTCTGTATGGGGCCCCTTTTTCTAATACAAGGATTGCTTCACACCAGTATTCTCATATCCCAATTGATAAGCCTCCAATGCAGCAAGTGACAATGCTCAGTAATTCCTTTCCAGGTAATCAATATACAGGAGACCCAGATCAGGTTAACATGCAGGATGAGTCTTTGCTTTCTAGACAAGGTTTTCAAGGGGAAAATATGTTTGGTCATGCTTCTAGACAAGGCCTCAATAGTGGGATGGATTTGGAGAAACTTCAGCAAGTAAATGCCCTGCAAAGCAATGCACATGTGCAGGAGTTCCATGAGAGTCAGGAGCTAGTTGATCCATCAAAAACATTGCAGGAAAAAACATTAATGCAGGTCTCTTCTTCACAGAATGTGGTTTCCCTAGACCCAACTGAAGAGAAGATTTTGTTTGGGGATGACAATATATGGGATGCTTTTGGCAGTAGTGCCAACATGGGTGTAGGTGGTTTCAATCTGTCAAGTGGTACAGGGTTTTCGAATGGACTTCCTTCCTTACAAAGTGGGAGTTGGAGTGCTCTTATGCACTCTGCTGTTGCAGAAACATCTAGCAATGACATAGGGTGTCAGGAAGAGTGGAGTGGTTTGAGTTTTCAGAATACTGAAGTTCTGCTGCGGAATTCTCAGCCTTCAACATTTGAAAACAATACAAAACAACAAACAGTTTTAGCTGATAACAACTTGCGGATTTCATCGATGTTGAGTTCTGGATCTGTTCCTCCATCTGATGTCAATATTAATAATAGCTATCAGGGAGTTCCAGAATTTCAACAACCTGGACAGAAATTTTCATATGAGCATGCTGATAGGCTGCAGATGGATTCTACTCACCAATCCATTCAGCAGTCTTCAGAAGGAGGAAGCCAGTGGTTAAGTCGCAGTCCTCTACAAAAGCCTCTTGCTGAAAGGAGTCAGATGTATGGAAATGCTGCTCATTCTTTAGATGCTGAAATGAATGCCAAGAGCATTTCAGGATCTTGGGCTCATCAACAGAATGATTCCTCTTATGTATCTGGTCAGCCACACAATGAACCCAATGGTCGTGATGTTAGTGAGTCTTTATCACCTAGTGGGGATGCGCCATCGACAGTTGATGGGAATGTAAACAAATTGCAACGTATGCACAGTACTGATCAAAAGAAAATGATGTATGAAGCAAGTCATGGTGGTTATATATGGAAAGCTGATTCTGGTCCAAATTCAACCGTTGGATTGGAGCATGTAAAGTCTGCCATGGGAAGTCCACAGGTTAACCGAATGGATGATAGTTTGAATAATCTTGCTGCGATACCAAGTTCTAGCACTGCAAGGGCCAGCCTGGACACCAGCCAACTGCTTCCCAATAGTCATAACCTTAATTACTGGAAACATGCTGATTCTTCAATGAATAACAAAGGAAGTGAAAATTCAGGGAGATCCCAGCATCATCTGAACAAGGGCCCTCAGGTTTTGGAATCGTCCTTAAACAGCTCACATAAGGATGCAGTTAAAACGCATGATTTGGAGAACTGTGATAGAAAAGAGAATTCTAGTGACAGCCATCGCTCTAACTTATCCAAGCACACTACTACTGGTGGTTTAAGGGAAAATGTTTGGTCTGATGGAAGTGATTCACGGAATTTGCCTGGAGGAAAGCAAAAGTCATCTGGTCAGGCTGGCAGAAAAACTCCTGCCCCTCGCAAATTTCAGTATCATCCAATGGGAAACTTGGATGAGGATGTAGAACCTTCTTATAGGATGAAACAGGCTCCCCATTCACAGGTCGCATCCCAGCAGATTCCTCGAGCATCATATAATCACAATGAGGGTTATTTTGGGCAGTCCAAATTTTTTGGACAGTTCCCTAAAACTTCTACTGAAATGGAAAAGGTGAATTATGGATTTATATTATTTGTTGTTTTATGTATTTAGTACTTATTTCAGCTAGAAAATATAAAATTATTTCGTTTTTGTCTTCTTTTTCTTTCGTTGTTTTTTTGCAGGGGCATTCACCTGATCTTCAAGCAAACAAAAAAGGGGAAGATGAGGTGCCTTCCAGAGGCACTCATCCAGGTTTTGCACCTAATGCTTCTGCTCCCTTTGACAGATCTTCTGGCATATATGCACCGAATAAGGCTGCTCAATCAAGGTTGTTAATTATTGAACTTTTGTTTCCTTCTCGCTTTAACTGTGACCCTGTTTGGGAAAAAGGTTTTGGGCTAAAATAGCCAATAAAGACAAAAGAGACTAATATAGGCAATAAGACAAAATGTCACGTCCAAACCATAATCATTTCACTTTTTCTCCCACAACTATCAAATCAACTATGAAGAAACTGAACGATCTTTCTAGACACAATTTTTTTAGCCAGGCTAATATAGACAAAAAACCAACTAAAATAGCCAACTTCCCAAACAAGCTCTGTGATTCAATTCAACTTAATTACCTGTTCTGCTGTCTGATTTTGTCTTGGATGCATGCTAATATGATTTTTTTAACATGCATGCAATTACTGTTGTTAGGAATATAGGCTACGTGGTAAGTGTAATTCATATGGTATCATGAGCTACATAATCTGTGTCACCGGGAAGTGTGCCATGAAATGATGAATCACATGATACAGTCGTGTATTGCACAATAAAGTATCTTCCAGCGGTTTCTTGTCATCTTCTGTGTTCCATGATGCATTAATTCAACTAGATCCATTTGATGACCTGCTACCTGACATACTCGAAAACGAGCCCAGCTACATTAACTAAACTAAAATACCTTTTTATTTTTTTAGTTAACTTTTTAGGATCTTTTTCTCCAAAGAAACTGCAGTATCTTGTACTGTAGTGGTCCTAATTCAATTCTGTTTGTTCCTACATGTTTCTACATTCAAAAGGGAGTTACTTGACATATTAATTTGATGATTTGAAGACTCATTGTGTTTGGACCATGTTCTAATTCTATTCTCTGTACCTATGTGTTTCTACATCCAAAGATGGAGTTACTTTGATATTAATTTGAAGACTGATTTTGTCTGGGCCATTAGGAGTTTTTCTATGCTTTGTACTTTATTCCCATATGCTGTTGATTGGATCCACATAGGGGGAAACAGGTTGGAAATTTAATTGTCTTCTTTGGAAAAAGTTATGAATCTTACTTGGGATCATTTTACACACGTTAATCACCATGTTGGTAGTGATAGTGATAACACTAGACTGAACTGAGTTCTAATTATATTATTGGGCAAAATCCCTCTTGTGGTTTTGATCATTTTGCATTTTACCTCCCTACCATCATTAATTCTGACAGAATTTGTGGGACACGCTCCCAATTTGAGCGTTGAAATGATTTTTTAGAAGTCAGGAGTCAAAATACAATGTGGAATGACAAATATGCTCTTATCTTTTGTCTTCTTCACCAAAAACCCAAAGCCTGTGTCATTGATTATATATATTGCTTGATACCTTACTTTTGTTGTTTGATTGTGTTCTATATCAGTGTACCTAATCTTTCAACTCATATTCGACTGTCTACTTATCCTTGTTTTTTTAGGATGCTTGTTACTGTAATTATATTTGAACTTGCTTGCTTTAAAGAGATTGTCTATGTACATTGCAGTCAAAATATGCTCGAGCTTCTTCACAAGGTGGATCAATCCAAGGAACATGGTAATTCTGATGGATCTTTTGGTCACCATCAACAAAATCAATCTTCTGTTTCTCAAGGTTTTGGTTTACAACTTGCACCTCCATCACAACGTCTGCCTGTCCAAAACCGTGCATTGGCTTCTCAGAGCTCTGCACAGACTGTCGGTTCTTTTAGTTCAAGTCATACCTCTCCTGAGATAAGAGACACAGGTCATGCACAGTTGGGTTCTGCAGCTCAAGAACAGTCTTTGCCTTCTCATGAAACATCTCAAGGAGAATTCAAGTTTAATAAAATTGGTATTCCAGGCCAAACCGGCATTGAAGCCTCAGAGTATGGTATGCAGGGAAACTTCTCTTCAGCATTGACTTCTGGTTTTCCCCATTCAAGAGGTCAGCTTCAAAATGAACAAATGATTGATGCTAGTGGAAAAATGACAACAAATCAACCCAAGAATGTATCTTTCAATAGGCATGCTTCTCATTTTCAACAGACTGATGATTCTACCATTAGAGCATCAGGAGACAGATCCCAGCCTACTGATGCCAATCATTCTTATGAAATAGCCTCTGCCGCACAAATTTTGGTGGGGCGGGCTATGCCATCCTCTCAGCCTTTTATTGCTTCTGGCATCTCTCAACCTGGTGCTTTTCCAAAAATGGTGCCTAATCCATGGATTAATGTTCCTGGTCAGCAACATTTGTTAGGCGCCCAACCTCACAAATTTCCTCCGAGTATTTTCCAATCCAGTGAATCAAATAATAATGTGGTATCAACTTCATCCACACCACAGGATCAAGAAGATCAAGATGAAGAAAGAGGGAAAGGCCTGTCTGAGTCTGGTGCGAATTCTATGGACTCAGAAGGTTTTGTTCGTGGGGAAGAGCAACCAGCAAAGGAAAGCATCGGTCAGCTCAGATCTTCTGGGAACACTGACTCAGCTGAAAAGGTGAGTGCATCCCTTGGGAAAGAAACTGTTGTCAAGAATCTGTCTGAGGCCTCTCCTTCGAATTCTGCTTCAACTCAGAGAGATATTGAAGCCTTTGGTCGTTCTTTAAAGCCAAATAATTCTATGCATCACAATTACTCCTTACTTAATCAAATGCGGACGATGAGGAGTACAGAGATTGATCCGAGTAATAGGGGCTTGAAGAGATTGAAAGGAGCAGATAGTGGTCTGGGCTGTCAGATAGGTGCCAAGGCCGGGCAGCCAAATGAGCAGAATGTTATGGTTGGAGATTCATTGGTTCAACGTAGTGCTATTCCATCTGGTGACTCGAAAATGCTAAGCTTCTCAGGGCCAATGGAAAATTGGGAAAGAAATGTTCCGTCTCAACTTGGAAATGCACCTTCTCAGGATGTGCATGCTTTAGTTTGGAAGGATTCTGAGAATTACACTCATAGTACAGCTTCTGTTAGAGTTGAAAATTCTCAGATTAGTCCCCAGATGGCACCCTCCTGGTTTAATCAGTTTGGAACCTTTAAAAATGGGCAGATGTTGACAGCGTATGATGCACGAAAAAATACAACTGTAAAGACTGTGGAACAACCGTTCACACTTGGGAAGCCTTATGATAGTTTGAATGCACATAATTCATTGGAGCAATTAAATGCTGCCGCTGATTCAAATCAGGTGGGTAATATCAGGCAGAGGTCAATCCCCAGTTCTGTAGCAATTGAGAGTTTCTCTTCTCACCTGTCACGAGTCCAGGATTTCACTGACCAACGTTTGGTTGTTGCGAGACCCAAGAAGAGGAAGAGTGCTACATCAGAGCTTCTTCCATGGCATAAAGAAGTGACACAGGGTTCACAAAGCCTTCTGACTATAAGGTGATTGTCTTCACCCTCCTTTCTGTCATCATTTTTTCTTTGAATATAATGTATCAAAGTCAGTACCCTTTCTATTGCATAGACTACATGGTTGCTTTTTCTATGATATTCTTTTCCCTATGGTGATTTTGATTTTTTTGGGCTTGTTTTCGATCACAGGGTGACAGAAGTTGACTGGGCCAAAGCAGCAAACCGGCTCATTGATAAGGTATGGTACCAGCACACTAGTTGCTGCTTCATGCATTTCATTCAAGTGCTCCCTTAGTTTTTTAATGCTTCTGATTACAGGTTGAAGATGAAGCTGAAGTGATTGAAGATGGACTACTCATGCTTAGACCTAAGAGACGGCTTATCTTGACAACACAGCTAATGCAGCAATTGTTTCACCCTCCCTCGGCTGCTGTTCTTTCTGCAGATGCCAGTTCAAACTGTGAGGCTTTGGATTATCTGGTTGCTAGACACACACTAGGGGATGCGTGCAGCCTAATCCCTTGTTCAGGAAGCGATTTGTGTGTGCCTCTTGATGACACAAACCTGTAAGAATTGCTTTAGAAGTTACCTGGAATTTACTCTTCCTAGTCTATGCTAAATCATGCTTGATATTTTTAGTTTCAGTGAGCGTATTTTCATGCTCTTAATTTCGTGTTTTGTGAAAAATGTCCTGTAGCTTGTCTGATAAGCATAAAGCATCTGAGAGAATTGGTGATCAGCATCTTTCAAAAGTTATGGAAGACTTCATTGGTAGAGCAAGGAAGCTAGAAAATGATTTCATGAGGTTACCCCTCAGATCTTTAGTTTTGTCTGTTTTAACATTTTATTTAGTTCTTTTGGTCCTTAACTTCTTGAATTTGTTTTTTCTAGCCGCATGACAATATTCTTGGCTTTCTAATATTTAAGCTCACTCATTTCTACTTGAATTCCTAAGTTGCTATGCTTAAGAGCGTAGACGAGAATATAGGACCCTTACCTTTTGAAAAAAAAAAAAACTAAAAAGTTTCTACATTGATTTTGCTTTATTGCCTGCACTTAATTTTTAAAGGCGACGGTGGACAATGCAATATTTTCTCTGGCTACAGGAGCCCCAAAATGAGGACTCTTGCATTGAATTTGTCTTGACTTCATTACCAGACCAGACTAAGCCTAGTATGCTAATTAAACAGGATCATTTAATGAATCCTTTTTCACTATTTCGCTTCTCGAGGGCTAGTATGCTAAGTTACATTAAATAAATTCGTATAGTTTTTTTTAATTAAGTTGAATATTTCATTTGTTAGTAAAAGCCCCATACGGATTCTGGTCTTTCATTTTCTTGTTTTAATGCTTTGTTATGGTGCAGGTTGGAAAAGAGAGCATCGGTGTTAGATTTGAGAATTGACTGCCAAGATCTTGAGAAGTTTTCTGTGATCAATCGTTTTGCTATGTTCCATGGTCGGGGGCAGAATGATGGGGCCGAGGCCTCATCATCCTCTGATGCTGCTGCAAATGCTCAGAGACTCTGCCCCCAGAGATATGTTACTGCACTTCCAGTGCCTAGGAATCTCCCTGATAGGGTACAATGTCTTTCACTATGATCTTTAATTTATTTATTTGTGCCCTTTCTTGGTCAACATTCTTGCATTCCTCTGCTTCTATGACCCATTTTCTTGCTAGTTTACGTGCTTTGGCAATTGCACAGACACCATAGAATCATACAACATGGAAATGCAGGTGAAGAATGGATTACTAGATTTTAAAAGGAATTGAGGCTGTTTGATATTTTCTCCATCTAGGCCATCGATGTCATTCTTGAGAAATAGAAGTTTAGAGTCCTTGTACATCTCTGTGAAATTTTAAAGATACTTGGCGTGCCCCGTCATTTTTCCAGTAAATTGGGTGGAATATAAGTGGAGCCCGTGGTTAGCAAAAAATATCCTCTGGTATATAAATCTGTATTTACTTGTGGTTTTTGAGCATGGTATTCGATTTGCTAATTGATGGTTAGTTTCATTTGGGCCAAGGTGTGGCATTTCTCCATTCTTCCATTAAATTGCTGCGTACTTCTTGAATTTTGGCATGGTTTGCAAACATAGTCCAAAGTTCCACCAAACTGGGAAAAAAAATTGAAGTAGAATAAAGTTGAACGAAACTTTTGAACTTTGGTGTCCAAGTTGTGATGTACTTGGTAGTTATGGTTGGATTTGTTGTCTTGAGCCATTTGGATGGAATGTAGCCATTGTATACCAAATTTTGATTACCTCATTATTTTTTCACATTTAAGTCTTATTTTCTCTCCAATTTTAGTGGGTGTTCGAGGTAGCTTTTTCTTGTTGTCTTCAGTAATTTATTTATTTATTTTATAAAAAAAAATCAGTGTACTTCACACTTATAGGTTCTATTTTTTACTTAGATGGACTAGAAAAGTAAAAAAGAAAAATTCAGAAAAGACAAATAAGAGGAAAGGTAGACATAATTCATTAAAAAAAAAACACTGAAAGTAAAAAACGTTTGATATACCCATTCAATTTGTTTTATTTTATTCTTCATATATATGATGCTAACTATTTTAAGGGTTAACTTAGTGGGTGCAACTTGAGATTTGGAAATGTGTTATTTTCAGGTTTTAGGTTTATTTTTTACTAGGTGTTATTAATTTTTTGGGGTCAAGTTTGTGCATTCTGATTAAAATTTGTTTAATCCACATAAAAGAGATATTTTGCGAGAATTTAAAAATTAGTCGTGATGTGCGAAAATTGATTTGGACACCTGGTCTTAAAAAAAAAAAGAGACTTTGAGACGAGCACCTGTAATGGTGCTAATTCCCATGTGAAGAGCTCCCCGTCACCTCATAGCTTACTTGTCCGCGACATCTATTCTGGACTTTAACTTAAATCTAAGTAGTGCTCTTCCAAAATCAGTCTAGTTCATGTGATCAAATTCAATAGTGATTGGGGATAATGCAAGATCAAAGAAGGGGGATTTGATCAAAATTCAATCATAATAAAATTTTAATTAAGAATAAATACAAAAAAAATTTCTTCTAAAATTTAACACATACTACTATTATCAAAACATTAAATTTTAAAAAATATAACTTTTAATTGAGATATCAATTTTTAATAAAATTAGTATTTTTAAAATTCTATCATCAAGATTTATCAAATAAAATTTATATTGATTATGAAATTTTTAAAAAGAAATAAATTATTATCATCAAAATTAATATAAATTGTAATATGTTACTTTGTTTAACAATAACAGATTTACAATAACATGTCACTGGCAATATTATTTGGAAAAAAAAATTTTTTTTACTTCGTCCTTGTTCAATTATTCATCTCTCCCTTTAGAGGGTTTATGAAATAAAATAAATTAAGTCACCTTTTTTACCAAATAAGAATCTGTATTAACTAAATTTCCCATCAAGGAATTATTTGGAGGACACTTTTGGAAACATTACCATATAATTACTAAGCTTTGATCAAAATACCACCATACACTAACAAATTGAAAGAACTCATTTATCTTATAGTCCTCATTTTGAAAATCTCTAAGCCAGAAAAAATCAATTAATTACTATTTTCTTGTAATACCAAAACTACTACTTCAGATATAACAGAAATAATAAAAGTAACACCTATAAAATATTATTTTGATAATGTAGCGTAAAACAATTTATTTTCTTTTCTTTTATATAATTTAACCAAACAAGATAAGATAGAAACAATATCTTTTCTTCTTTTTTTTTTCCCCCTCTCCTATTTATCCAAACAATGAGAGAAACCACAATTCATTCTTCTTTTCTCTTCTCTCCCGAGTTCCCAAACATAGTGTACGAGATGTTGCTCAAAATTACCTCCCAGCTCTGCTAATGAGTTCTATTGTGATATATGTGATTTGACCAAAATAAAAATCAAAATCAAAATCTCCAGTGGACTTTGTCATTCATTTCTCCTGCTAGTAGCGCTGGAGAAGCAGCTTTAAGAAAGGCTAACTTGCATTTCCTCTCCTACTACTGCTAAAATTTCTTCCACCCTGTAAACATGATGGAATTATTACCAAATCTTGCTTCATTGAAGCCAAATTTCAAAAATAGGGTGACAAAAAATCAAATATTTCCTTAGAGCACTGATTGCAAAAGACCTTAAATTATGGAGCATTGCTACATCTACCGAATTTGGACTCGCCCAAATTGCCCGAATTTGTGCATGCTGATCATCCGGTTGGTCATCGAGTAAAATGCTAGTCATTCAGGTAGATGTCGATTGACACACGAGTAGACAAGGGTGACAGCCGCGCGACAACCACGGTTGACAAGAGTACGCCGGTTGTCCGAGAGGTCATCTGGTTGGACATTCAGCTTATGTAATTCGGGCAATTCGGGCGAGCTCAAATTCGGTGGATCAATTATTTTTTCTAAATCATGCATCTCTAATTTGATATATTTCCAATTTTGCAGTATTGAAAAAATATAACACGGGTATAACTGTAAGATTTCTGAATAAGAGCTGTACTATTCAATTGTGTCAAAATACAAATGATACATCTGATTATATAGTGCTCCTAACCCTAAGACTAAAAAGGAAACGAAAATATTCACTTGATCTCGCACAATCTCTGAGAATATATACACACTACATTACCATATATATACATACACAATATTCTCACACCCTTGCTCAAACTCAAGGGGTTTTTGCAGAAAACACTAAGAGTTTGCCAAGCGGGCAGTGGTGTGAGTCTTGATAAAGAAGTCAGCAAGTTGTAGAGCCGAAGAGACGGAAGGAAGCGAGATTGCAGATGCTGACGAATAAAGTGACAGTCAATCTCAATGTGCTTGGTCCGCTCATGGAAGACAGTGTTATAGGCAATCTAAATAGCACTGCGGTTATCACAATAGAGAGAGGTTGGAGAAGACTGAGGGACGCCCAAGTCAAAGAGAAGACAATGAAGCCAGACAACTTCAGCAGTAGCATGAGCCATAGCATGATACTCAGCTTCAGCAGTAGAGCGAGCAACGACACTTTGTTTCTTGCTTTTCCAAGGGATCAAGGAAGTGCCAAGAAATATACAGAAACCAGACGTGGACTTGCGATCAGTAACATCACTAGCTCAATCAGAATTAGCATAGGCCACCAAATCAAGAGAGGAAGTAGAGGATAACAGTAAACCCTGAAATATAGTACCTCGAAGATAACGAAGAATTCGAACCAATACAGCTCAATGTGTGGAGCAAGGAGCAGAGACAATCTGGTTAACCACATGAACAACATAGGCAAGATCAGGACGAGTAATCGTCATACAGACTAAACAACCCACAAGCTCTCGATATAAAATAGGATCATCTAGAAGAACACCATCAGTAGTGTTGAGCTTTACATTAAGCTCAATGGGGGTATCAAAAATTTTGGTGTTAGTAAGACCGGCACGATAAATAGCCTCATTGGCATTCTTGGGCAGAGATAGAAAGTAGCCCTTAGGAGAAGAAGCTACCTCAATATCAAGAAAATACCGCAATGGGCCCAGATCCTTCATTTCAAAGGTGTAGAAAAGATACTGCTTGACCTCAGATATAGCAGAAAAGTCAAAACCAGTTATGATCATATCATCCACATACAGTAATAATGCAACAAATCCAGTAGAGGTGTGGAGAAGAAATAAAGCAGAGTCTTGGGCACAAAGATGAAACCCAAGTTCAATAACAACAGTCTGAAAGCGATCATACTAATCATGAGGAGACTGCTTCAGACCATACAGAGCACGCCGAAGGCGACAAACCTGTCTAGAGAAATGGTAAAGGCTAGGAGGAGGACACATGTAAACTTCCTCAGTGAGATGACCATTAAAAAAGGCATTCTTAACATCCATTTGATAAAGAGGCCAAGAATGAACAGCAACGACAGAGATAAAAGTATGGACAGAAGTCATCTTGGCAACAAGAGCAAAGGTCTTCTCATAATCAATACCATATTCTTGTGAGAAACCTTTGGCAACCAGACGAGTTTTGTAGCGCTCAAGAGAACCATCACAATGAGTCTTGATTTTGTAAACCCATTTGCAACCAACCAGATTCTTACTAGTAGGCAAAGGAACTAACTCCCAAGTACTAGTTTTCTGTAAAGCAGACAACTCATCCTTTATAGCTTGAATCCAATAAGGATCTTGACAGGCCTTCTTGTAAGACTGAGATTCTAAAAAAGAGTAAATAGCAGATAAAAAAGTACGATAGTAAGCAGAAAAACATGTATTAGACCAATCTAACCTGTTTGGAAGATGACGCGCTCGAGTAGGATATCGATGTGCAACAGGATCAGAGTCGTCAGAAGCAAGAGGATCAACAATAGGGGTAGAGACAACCGATTGAGGAGGAGTCTTGAGACGAGAATACACTAACAACGGAGGAGGAGAAGAAACCGAAAAAGAAAAAACAACCAGAGGTGAAGCAGGAGGAGAAGATGAAACAAGCTCAGGAGGAACTGTGGAGATGTATTCATGAGACGGGACCTCAGAAGGAAACAGATCAATATGAACCAAATCCTCTTTGGAAACGGGGGCAGTGAGAGGAGGAAGCTAAAAGTAAGATAGACGTTCGAGAAAGGCAACATGTCGGGAAAGATAAAGGCGACGGGAAACAGGGTCATGACAGCGATAATCTTTTTGAGGGAGACTACAAACCAAAAAGACACATAGGACATACCAGACACTAAGTTTGGTCTTATCTTTACGCGGTAAAAGGATAAAACAAGCAGACCCAAACACATGAAGGGGGAGTAATGAGAAAGTTGAGAAAACAGAACCTCATAAGGAGACCGACCAAAAAGAAAAGGGGGTAGGCATATGGTTGAGAAGAAAAACAACAGTAAGAACTGCTTTACTCCAAAACGAAGAGGGAGCGGAGGCAGAGAGAATGAGAGACTTAACTATCTCAAGGAGATGACGGTATTTACGCTCAGCTTGACCATTTTGGGCAGGTGTATCAGTACAAGAAGTTTGGTGACTTGTACCCAATTTGGCCAAATATTCACAGAATTCAGTTTTAAAGTATTCCCCGCCCAAGTCAGACCGCAACAATTTAATAGTAGACCTAAACTGTGCAGTGACCATAGACTGGAAAGTACGGTATATCTGGTAGAAGTTAGACTTATAAGTCATAAGATAAACCCAAGTGTAACGGGTGCAATTATCAACAAATGACACATAGTATGCAGAATCCCTTTTGGTGAGAACAGGAGAAGGGTCCCAAACATCAGTATGAACTAAAGAAAATGGTGTATCAAATATAGAAGTACTTTTATAAAAAGTAAGACTGTCATTTTGGCAAGTTTACACCCCCGACATTTAGTAAGTTCACTAAGAGAAATTTTACCCAATATACGAGATTGAGCTAAAGACCGTAAGCGATCAACAGACAAATGTCCTCATCTAGAATGCCACAAGTAGAAAGGATTAGACAGAGAATCTAACTGAAAAGAGGAAAAGGCAGTCAGAGAGTTTGTCATAAGACAGATGTAAGCTTTCTACCACATAAAGGTCTCAAACTCTACGACTGGTCCCAATCTGCTGCTTAGATATCCGATCCTGTACAGAACAGATAGAAGAAGAAAAGATAACATCAAAACCAGAGGTATTAAGTTGATTGATAGATAATAAACTGACAGATAACTGAGGAACATAAATGACAGAGGGAATAGAGACAGTAGACATAGCAGATGGTAGGTCATACCCAACAAATATAACAGACATATCAGACCCATTAACAACATTGACAGTAATAGGAAAGGGAGGAGGAGTACAATTTTGAAATAAGGAGAGATAGGGAGTCATATGATGAGAGGCATCGGAGTCAAAAATCCAGATAGACGAAGAAATACCTGAAGAAGACCCAAGCAAACTTGAATGACGAGAGGAAATAATGGAGGCAAACGAGGATGACTGAGGGGTAGACAATATATGCTGAGTAGTCAAGGAAGCTAGGTTAGAATCAGGAGCCAGAGCAGATGTAGTAGAACCGGCGGAGGCCGAGCGGTACTCAAAGGAAAAGCACAAAACTTAATCGGAAACTGCTAAAAAGACAAGGCAAACACAGGCAAAGCAGACAAATATCCATTTTTGGGACAATGATACTTCCAATAACCCCTTTGATGGTAGAAGACACACTCATTAAAAGCCAGAGACATCATAAGAACCAGAAAATTGTGAGGTTTAAGTGTAATAAACCCAAAATAAAACAAAATAGCCAAACCAAAGGTGCAAGTGTAAAAACCAAAAAATTTGAGGGGTCAAACTGTAATAAATCAAATAGAATGATATCGAATGGTCAAATACGACCAAGCAGAGCCAGAAAGAGAGAGATTAAAGCTGAGATGAACCAAGAGAGGTCGAAGCAGAGTCAAAGCTGAGTCGAACCAGAAGCCAAAGTTCGAAGTCCAAAGTTGAAGACTTCGAGCCGAAATTGAAGAGAGAACCACGAACGACAATGGTGAAGAAGAACAGTCGAGGCAGTCGTGAGATAAAGGTAGTCAGGTTGCAAGGCTGCGTTTGTCTGTTGCGACCTGAGGGAAGTTGCAATCAAGAGAGAACCACGAACGACAGTCGCTTGAGGCCTTCAATTGAACCAGACAAAACATAGAGAAGAGAAATCGACTCAGAGACTGCTAGGGTTTTGGCTCAAAGATGGCTCTGATACCATATAAGATTTCTAAATAAGAGTTGTAATATTCAATTTGTGTCAAAATACAAAGGATACATCTTATTATATAGTACTCCTAACCTTAAGACTAAAAAGGAAACGAAAATATTCACCTAATCTCGCACAATCTCTCAGAATATATACACACTAGACGACCATATATACATATCTACACAATATTCTGTGTGAGTGTGTGTGTGAATTGAAATGATCTCAACTGGAATTGTTCAACACAAATTTATGATTTCAGTTTCAAATTAAATACATAGGCAAGTTAGCTCAAATAATATTTTATTCCGCTTTACCTGTATGTATCTATGTTCACCTCTGCAAGCCAGGTTGTTAAGTAAATCTGCCACTCAAACAACTAGTAGTTTAGACAACTAGAAGAGAAAAATAAAAAAGTGATTTAACCAAAAAGCAGAACTAGATAGAAGCGAGCACTGCAATATCTGACCTTCACACATTTATCTTCCTCAATTTTATTGACGGATCAGTGCCAAAGATTAAACCAAAGAATAAGAAGAAGAAAAAAATCAATCAAACAGAGCAATTCTCGAAAAGTAACATGTGAACAAGAAAGGGTTTTATGCTAGAGGAGTAGGACATACTGTGTGCTCTTTAGTCCCTACCGCGTGTTATCTCTCCTATGTATATTCCGTCACAATAATTACTTTCAACCCCTCCAAGAACACGATTTGACTTATTTAAAATCGCTAGATTACCTTTAGTATCTCTAAATGAGAATGACGGGTATTTTGGAGAGTAGTCGGAAGTTTGGTAGAACATTAGGGTACTTAATCCACAAATGTCATAAATGCATTAGAACATGCCTCGTGTATGGTGCAAATACCATGACAATTAATCATTTAGTCATATAATATGTCAAACTTTTAACACAAAATGTACATGCAATACATCCTACATTAGCTACTTTTATATATTTGAAGTTGAATGCAATGAAACCAATACCTGCAAAACCTCATGGTCTGGTTGACAATTAGAATGTTCAGCAGTCATATCAGATTTCCAACCCTTTATCTTTGGATGAACTGGTTCAAAAAGTTCTTTAGAATACAAGCCACATATACATAAATCATCAAATTCTCCAGGATAGAGCTCGTCTAACCAAGACACACTATTAATCGGAACTTCTTCAGAACTGATGGAGAGCAACTCCACTACAAGAAGCCGCTGCTCATTCAAATCAATATCCAAGATAAGTTTAGGGAATATACACAAATTGGGACAGATGATTGGACACATGTCCGATCCTCTTGTCCTGAAATAGAAATCTCATAATAGCGAAGTGATATTACCATTTACCTTCAAATTTAATTCCAATGTGAACATCTGAACAAGCTCATTTGCAAACTCCTCTGAAATAGTTAGAAAGTCGATCACATTAAATATCCGTCAGAAAAATGAGAAGAATCTGGAAACCATGGAAGAAAAGTTCCATAATTTGTGTTCTGTTCTCAGCTTTACAACTTACAAGAAAGAAAAGAAAAGAAAAAAAAAAGAACTAATATTTGTTATATTAAAAGAACTGAGCCTACTACTTGGGCAACGATGTGCCAACTGCATGGCGAATTGATGCATCAAATTTCTACAAGAAGTAGACATAGCAGAAAAGAATTGCAGATATGAACATACCAAAATTAGAGATTGACCAAAATGCAAATACTGGGATCCCTCCGCCATCACCATTGTCATTCTTATCCTCTGAAAAGTTAGAAAATTGCACAAGCGGACTACTAGTCCCTTTAATGAAACTCCTCATAGATCTACTGGCGTTGACCACGTGCACTACAGCAGCCACCTATAGGTATACTAACAATTAAAGACCAACAACACATTATTTCTCTCTACTAATTTACCTGGTTAAAATAGAGCTAGATCATCATGAAAGGATGAATCAACACATGAAAAATAGTAATAAGTATTGTACCAAGATCAAATCAAATTTTCATTTCTGATCTATTGTTTATTGGTGTCTTAAAGAACAATTTAACAGCTTGGGTCAAGATCATTGCATGAACCCCAACTCTGAAAACAGGAATAACAACAGACTCACTTGGAAGATTTCAGTAACAGCACATTGCAAGCATATGCTACAGACATACATTCTGATATACACGTGCATAATCATGAGATAAAGCAAAAGAATTGTACACTTTTAACATAATATTAGTTTGACGGATGCCTTAAGAGTGTTGTATAAATGTTGGCTTTAAATTACTAAGCCTCATATTTGTAGCTATCAGCTGCAAGAACCAGTCAAGCAAATCCTAATGCAAGTTGGCACACATAAAAGTTCACCTCTCCTTGTAAGAAGAAATCATTTCTTTTGAATGTCATAATGTACAAAATCTCACAGTTAGAGTTAACAGTTTTGTGGTAGTCTCTGATGTAGACATACATCTCCATAGCTTTCTTATTGGTTGATTACACAATTTGGGGATATCATAAAATACTGCAACTACAACTATACAATATAGATGAAATGCAATTACAAAATTGTTTCTCTAAATGCACTGAACATTTAATTTTTTTTTTTTTCAAGCAAAGATGTGTTTGGTTTTCTAATGAAATATACCTATCAAATTTACATACCATATCCTTGTAAAATGATAAAAGTTTTCTCCGATGCAGCTCCTGAAAGAAAGATTTTTCCGTAAGTATTACCAAAGATATGATTTTTTTTTTTAATAATTTAAAGAAAAACAGAACCAAAGTTCTTTACATGATGGGTTAAAGGGGCTTTTGCTTGTTTAGAATAAAAGTTGTTTGCAAGATAACCCAAAGCCTCTGATCAAAAAAAGATAACCAAAAGCCCTAATGTACTAATCGTACTCACTCTTATTTCTTAGTCAACTACGACAATCTTCAAGAGTCCATTTGGTTTTAGCATCAGACATATTCCAAACCGAGCCAAATTAATTTATCAGGCATTTAGCAACGGGCAATGATATACTTAATATCAAAATTGCCTCCTCCTCCCAAATCTATCCCTGGTTTCTTCCTCTTTCCCCCTGTGGTTCAATTCATCAATCAAATGCTCTCACTCAAAAAATCGGAGCATCACACCACACAACCAGTGGTTCGGTAGAGTACATTCCAAATTTCAGTATTTGTTTACTAGCCAATATAGAGATAGAGACAACACCTCCTCCAACTCAGATAAGTTCACAGCACCTTCTATGTTCCTAACTATTTGTCATATGCTGAATTTCATCAAGACTTCAATTACCCTGAAAATTTTCAACTAGTACTACACTAAATCCTATTAACTTTTCACAAATTTCCATAATTCAGCAGAGTTGTCAAAATAGTGCCATACTTTCACAATCAATGTATATCCTCAAGGCTCTGTTTGATTAAAAAGGGAAAAAAAAAAAGGTAGAAAGTGAAAGAAAAGAAATAGAAAATAAAATATTTTTTCTTGCAAGCATTTGATTAAGATGAAAATTTTGTAAGAAAAAGATAGAAAATTTTAAAATTTTGGTCATAGATGACTCACACATTCAATATTTCTTGTGTTATTATTTTTTTTTATACAAGAAATGAAAAATTAGTTATAATGCTAATATGGGTTGTACAAGAAAATTAGTTTTCTACTACTTTCCCTAAGTTTTTTTTCTTCTCTCATTGAAGTTAAATTTTTTTCTCTTTCCCTCACTTTCTATCTATTTCATCTTAAACAAACTGAGCCCAATGCAATTCAAACAAGAAAATCACCTGCTGCTTAAGCAACTTCCAGCAAGCTTTCTTCCTAATATTGGGCATATCGCTCAGAACACCCAATTCCATATCATTCATGTACCTGTACAAAACCCAATTCAGAAAAACTCTTAATTTGATGTTAAAAATTCAAACCCAAGTGATAAAATACAAGTATATACAAGGAATTGCCTTTGGGAGAGATAGGAATTGACGAGAGAAGTGGCTTGAGATAGGGAAGATGAAGAAGAAGAAGACCATTGTTGTCTGTAAGAAGCCAATTTGGTCCACTGGTTCCTGAGGTTTCGCTGTGCGGCTGGTCTCCATAGCCGAGTCACTGAAGGCGGTGGAGGCGTTGGTCTAGAGGACTCTGTGCTGGGGTTTTGAAGCTTCGACTGTGTTGATTTCCAAGAAGAAGGTGGAGGAGAGATAGGGCGTGAAGGGGTAGTCGGAGCCTGGTTTTCTTCCATTGATAAATGTCCGTCTGAGGTTGTCGTTCCCTAACGAGTGAAATAACTAGGAAACACTATGGTATGGCTCACACAATATGCACCATATAATAACTGGAAAAAAAAAACATAATTTTAATAAAAAAAAAAGCATAATTTTAATGATTTTGAGTAGTAATTAAAAATAAAAATCATAACCAAATATCATATAAATTATAACTACAAAAACTCATGAGTTATAATTAAAATAATACTATAATTGAAGAAAAAATTTGATTATAATTAAAAAAAATGACATAATCGTATACTATTTTTAAAGGGTGTGTATTAAAATTTTCAAAATAACTTTTATTTTTTTTTTATCTTAGATAAATTATAATCATCTTATTTTCATAGTTTTAAATCCTTCATAATTTTAAATCCACTTTTTAGAAAATTAAGTTTTTTTTTTACTGATTTTTTTTAATATTTATTTGTTTTTTGTTAATTTTTAAATATACCTAACATAAATATATTTAAAAATTATAATATTTGTGATTTTTTTTAAAAAAATGCACTAAATATCAAAAATATAAAAATTCAATATATTTTTGTATTTTTGTGTATTTATTTTTTTATTTATAAATATTTTACTTTTTAAGTACATCTAAGTTATGTAAAAAATTATTTAAAACATTAGAAAAATTCATTAAAAAATAAAAAAAAATATGAAAAATAAAAAAACTCAGCTTTCAAAAAATTTGAGCTCAAAAATTAGAACCAAACAAATTTTTTTTTTACAAGAGTTATAATTTCAATGTATTTGCCATGTTAAATCAACTAAGGAATTTTAACACAATTAGCATTAAAATAACTGATAATACAAAACTTATTAATCTTTCAGCCAAAATCAATCCAAACCTTACCCATTTTACCTTATTAACTTTAAATATAACACATCTTAGATATTTTAGAGAGAGCAAAATGGGCACAAAAAAAAAAAGAAAAAGGGTGGGATATAATAGGAGTCTTCACATTTTTTTCTTTCACTTGTAGTACGAAGAAGGAATGAATTACAGAGGCACTACTAATTGAGTTGAGAAGTCAAATTATTAATTGTTTTCTATATCGTATTTAATGATTTAAACTAAACACATCTACATTACAAAATTCTATTTAAATTACCGTAAAGTTAATGTATTATATAAAGTAGGGGTGTTCATGGTTCAGTTGCGGTCAAGAAATTTCTAATTCGCCATCCGTCCGCTGGATAGGTGAATTGAAAAAAATCAATCCGTATTTGCCGAATTAACGGATGCAAATTGACAGATTAGCGGATAAATGCGAATCGATTTGGTGGTTTAAATTTTTATAAATTTTGAACATAATACAATAATTTGTTAACATTTTTTTGAATAACAATCCAACTCAACATAACCAAAAGATTATTAAGTAAATTGTCAAATACTAATAATAAATACATATAAGAAAACCATGCATTATCAAAACTATTTCATTAGTTTTTTTTTATTCAAAAACTATTTAATGATTTTTTTTTAAATGATCAAATTAAGTTTTATATTTTCTATACAAAAATACCAAATATCAACTCTTGCCATTTGATAAAGGGATTTTCAAATTGAAAATACAATAAAATATTTAAACTCTTTTTCAATTGAAAACACAAACAAAATATTTAAACAAATTAAAAATACAAAGTCTTACAAATTACTAAGGATGTTTGCGGTTTAACGGTTCGGTTGCGGTCAAAGGAACCTCAAACCTACCATTTGTCCAAAACTAGATGAATTGAAAAAAATCAATCTGCAACCATCCGCTCGTCATCACGTATCCATTTAAAATGCAACAGGTTAGCTCGGTTCGATTGGTTTAGACGAATCAAAATATCCGCTGCTCAACCCAATATAAAGTATGAAAAGGGTAAGATAGGGGTTAGGAGATGGGAATGGTAGAGTAGAAAGCGGTGACCATGGAGGGTGGTAGAAATGTGAGTTTATTGAAAATAGAAAGGGATGAAACGGCGAAGATTACATTATCACCGCGGCTATGATAACCATTATTCAAAATTAATGAAATATAGTCACAACAACGGGTAAATTTTTGACTATTTTAATAATTTATATTTTGTTTACAATTTAAGTAGATAGATTTAAAAATTATAAGTTTTTTAAAATTAAATTTGAGATGATTAAATCAAGAGTTATTTTGAGAAGTACAATTTATTTATTACATAAAGATATATAAAAAGTAAAGAGGTAATATAATTTAAATAAATAAAAAAAAAACTAATAAACTAACATTTTTTACCCATCCCAAAAATGACATAAGTCCAACATCAAGTTAAACTAAGGGGTTATTTGGGATGACCTAAATAAGTGTACTTTTTGTCTTTTTACGAAAAGATGTGCAGAAAAGTAGAGAGGTGATGTGATGTGATGGAAAAAATATAAAAAGATAAAAAGATGGATTATTTTTAGGGAGATTTACCAATAAATCCCAAAATGTAAACTTATGAACCAATTAGTCCCATTTTTATTCTAGTAAACCGTTTAGTCCCATTTAATTGTGAGGGACGTAATTACCCTCATCTCTAACCGTTGCTCACAGATACACAGACACACACACACAGAGACACACACACACAGAGATACACACACAGATACATACACACACACACAGAGATACACACACACAGATACACACACAGACACACACAGATACATACATACACACACAGATACACACACACACACAAATACACACATACATTACGAGGGGCAGACACACACACACAGATACATACACACACACATCTGCAGATCTGAGACTGAGATCTGAGTCGCCATCATCATCACACACACACACATGCATCTGCAGATCTGAGACTGAGATATGAGTCGCCATCATCATCACACACACACACAATCACAGGGAGATAAGAGAGGTCTCGATCGGTTGAGAGAGGAGAGAAGATGGAGACTGGTTGCGCCGATGGTATCAAGCGGCGGAGTGCGGCCACGGCGGCGTAGAGACGAGAGACAGAGAGCGGCAGAGAAAGATGGGGTCTGAGATGAGAGAGAGAGAGAGATCTGAAATGAGAGATGAGAGGAGTTTTGTTAGATTAAATCTGTGGAAGGGTTTGGAGGGAACGAAATTTGAGAGAGAGAGAAGCGCGGGTGGGTTGCAGACAGAAGAGGGGAAGAGTTATAATGTGGAAAATGGTGAAGTGATGGTGAAGCCCCACCAGTACATGGAAACAAAATAATAATGGGTAAAATCGTCCATACAGTTACACTAAATATGAAAAATAGGATCAATAAGAAATAAACTTTCCCACTGATAGGACTTATTCGAACAAAAGAATAAAGTTGGGACTAATTAGTTTAATAGTTTGTGAAATGAGATTTATTGGTAAATTTTCTTTATTTTTAATATGCCAAACTTGGCCTAAACTGGAAATAACATAATACATTGCTATATAAGTCAAATGGGACTCAAATCTCACTGCCCAAACTTTATCCAACCCTAAGCTAACCGTGGAAAAATTATTTCTTGACTTTCTTGATGCAGGAATATTTTTAATCAATCACAAATTATTATATATTTTTATATTTTTTAATTACTTAATACAAAATAATTAATTGCATACCATTCTATTTTCTTATTTTTTTTAATTACTTAATATAAAATCATATATATATTTTTAATACTTAATATAAAATTATAAATTTTATTTTTTTTAAACCAATCACAACACGCGACCGTACCCCAAACCGGCACGTAACTTGTCGTGACCGTGCCAGATCTCTGATGACCCAACCCAACCAAGAGGCCATAAGCCAATCGCCTATTGCAGCCATTGTTGTTCACTGAAGAGAGAGAGACAGAGATCAGAGAAATGTCGTCGCACAACAATTCATCATCATCGGCGGCGAATGATCCACGGCAGCCCTCAGCTGCAAAGCCGTTCGCATCATCGATGGTGTCTCCTCAAGAACTTCCCATCGATTACTCCGGTTTCATTGCCGTCATCTGCGCCGTCGCCGGCGTCATGTTCCGTGTATGTATATCCATATATATATATACGTATACATGTATATCTTCGATCTGGTTTTCAATTTGATAATCATACCTGTATATGTCTCTATATATGGTGTTTTTACGCTTATTAGGGTTTATTTGGATAATAAATAAGTGAAGTTTTTGATTTCGCCGAATCTCTAACGCTATGCTTGGATTGAGTGATTTGGAGAGAAAATAAAAGAAATGGAGTGATATGTATTTATCTTATTTGTTTGGATAACCTAAGCGGAGAGAAATGGGGAGAAATGGAGAGAGACTCATTTCTCTTGTAACCTTCATTTTCAATCTTCCCAAAAATATCCCAAAAATAGAAAGATTGGAAGAGAAAAGAAACTACTATTTTCATAATATCAATTTTGTCTCTATAAAAATAAAAGAAATAAAATGATTGAAAATATAAAAAAGTTATTTTGGTAATATAACATAAAATAGTTTCTTTTCTCTTAATAAAACATAACCAAACAAGAATGAGAGAAATCACAATCATTTCTTTTCTTTTATTTCTTCCTTATCCAAACAAAAAGGAGAGAAATCACAATCATTTCTTTTCTTTTCTTTTCTCTTATTACTTAAGTAATCATTTCTTTTCTTTCCTCTCCTAAGTTCCCAAACATAGTGTAAATTTTACTAGAGTTGCTCCAATCCTTGACTCAAACATATATCAAATTGAAATTTGTGTAAAAATCTCTCAAAAAACTCCTTCACCCAAACCTGTACCAATTTGAGTTTTTCTCAAATTTTTTTTCTTCTTTTTTTTTCCTTTTCAAACCGTGGGAGATTCAGGCTTCGTTTGGATAAACTTTTGTTAGCCTGGCTTTTTAACTAGTTGTCTGATTAAAAAAAAGTGTGGTAAGGATAAAGTTTTGATTTTTTTAGTTGATTTAATAGTTGTGGGTGAAAAAATGAAATAATTATAGTTTGTATGTGATATTTTGTCTGGTTGACTTTTTTGACATATTTTGTCTTTGGCTATTTTTATTTACACAACATACAAGTTCTCAGTACACACCCCAAACGTAGTTGGATATAAATTTTTGAAGAAATATCAAATATTCATATTTAGATTTATGAATACGAAGTAGTTGTTCGAATATAAATAATCGAAGGGTTATATATTTGAACAATTTATTTTTGTTCATTACTTTATATCTGAACATTTGATATTTGTTCATAAATTTATATCCGAACATTTTTGTGGTGTGTACTGAGAGTTTGTATGGTGTGCAGATAGAATTTCCCTTTGTCTTTTTATTTGCTAATTTAGCCCCAACCCATATGTCAAACCTTTGCACTTTGTTTGGATCGTGTGGTGAGGTGAGAAAAGAAATGATTGTGCTTAGGTGAGAGAAGAAAAGAAGAGATTATGATTTCTCACCATTATATTTGGATGAATAAAAGAGAAAAGAATGTGGTTTTTCACCTATCTTGGTTGGATAGAATAAATAAGAGAAAAGAAAGGAAAGTGTTGTATTTCATTTTATCAAAATAACATTCCATATTAATAAGCTTTGTTTTTTTAGAAGGGTAATTTTGATATTTTAGAAAACTTTCATTAAACTCAATTCATTTCTCAAAAAATCTCACCATTTTTGGTATGAAAAAAAATATAGGTTTGGTGAAAATCCTTTTCTTATCATTTTTCACTTACTTAACCATCCAAACAAGTAAAAAGATTTCCTATTCTCACTGTTTCTTTCTTCTTTTTTGGTTCTCTCAGCAAACCCCTCCATCCAAACGGAGTGTTAGGGTTTGATTATTTGGTGGTTTTTTTGGGCTTATTTTCGTGTTTAATGAACTTTTTTTTTTGATTTTTTAAAAAAATTTTAGGCTTCTTGATTTAGCTGGACAAATTGGAAACTTAAAAAATTAAAAATAAATTTCCAAAAAAGGCAAAAATAAGCCAAATTTAGTGGATTTTTTGGCTTTTTCAAATTTTTTTTGAATTTTTCAAAAAGTTTTACTTTTAGATTTGTATAGACCAGGAAAAAAAAAGATTCAGTAATGACAAAATAAATTTGGAAAAAGAGGTGGCTTTTTTAGGTGTTGTTCAAAATTTTTGAGGTTGTTTGGTGGCTCTCAAATTTATTACTCTATCATTAGTGAATCTTTTACTCAAATTTATGCTTAAATCTGAGATTGTTAATTGGATTGGTTCATATCAAATAAAGCTTTTTATTCAAATTTGAGTAAAATATTAAGGGCTGGAGATGGCCTTAGTATAGACATTGCTTTGTTTCTATGTTTCAAAAACATGGGTTTGCTAGGATGTACTCCTGATGGGTTTGCATTCACAATCTATGTGCAGTACAAGCTTGGCTCGTGGCTCGCTATCATATTCTGTGCTCAATCACTTGCCAATATGAAGAATATGGAGAATGATCTTAAGCAGATCTCGATGGCCATGATGTAAGTAGCTCTTATGTATATTTGACACATGCTAAATTAAGTGCCTTCTGTATTGTTTAGCTTACTTGCTTGATGAACAATTGCTCTGAATTTGGTTTCTTTTGGACAAGTCTAATCACCATTGCATAAAAATAGTTCTCTCCGTTGATGACAATGTGGCGTCTTAAGCTTTCCACTAGGGATGAGAAACCTGTGAAGAACTGTTCTTTCACTATTATTACTGTTGGAGTGTTTTGAATATAAATAATGAGATCTACTTCCCAGTGCATATCAAGTTGCAAATTCAGTTTTTAATTTGAGTTCATGGCAAAAGTAAAGAGATGTCCCAAAATTTAGAAGGACTTTAGTTTAGAAGTCTTCAATTGTTTTTGTCATCTTAAAATTAGTATAGCCCTTTGAATATTGATAATATGTGATTGATGATTCATCTGACTGCATTTAAAACAATCAATCTATGGGTATTGGTTGAATTTTGTTGGTTATACAATGAATATGTAACGTGCTCAGGAAACAGACAAGTGCATATGCTAGTTTTTTTGTATATAAGCTGATTGCTATCCTACTTCACAGTAGAGGTTTGATAGCATTATAACCACTTTTATTGGAAATTAATTACCCTTAAATCACTGAATTATGACATTATAGTAATTTTAAGAGGAAAAAAAAAAAAGGAAAATTGTCTTTGTCTCATGTTTCTCTGCAAATCCCCCATTAGCAACTCTTGGCCTTTAGTGGCTACATGACCATGGGCTATCATAGGTTTATTTTTTACTCGAGATCACCATCGTTGACCACTTGTCCAACATGGCCAAAACAAGAAAAAAGAAAAAAAAAGAAGAAAGAACCCAGTTGTGGATTCTCGACATCAGCCATTCCCATCTCATCCCACCATAGATTTGCACCTCCGTTAAGGTCTCCAATGACTTAGGCTTTTTTCGACTTGGTTGTGTGTGTGTGAGAGAGTTGGTGGGTATGGAAAGATAGATGAGGGTAAGTAAGTCGTGGGATCTATGGTGATGGTTGGTGATTTGCAGTAGAAAGCAGAAGAAGATGAAGATGGACTTCACAACAATAGTGATGGCAGTCGATGGGCTTTGCTAGTGATCTTTCATGTTGTCATAGCTTTGGTGCTTTACACGTGTTGGCATTTTATGGTGTTTTGGGTGCAAATGCTAAATACAATTTCTAAGAATATTTATTATGAAAATAACCAATACTTAGGGGTTGTTTGGAATGATCTAAATAATTGTACTTTTTGATTTTTTAAAAGTTTGAAAGAAATGATGGTGAAAATAAAGGAGGAAGAAGATGAAGATGGACTTCACAACAATAGTGATGGCAGTCGATGGGCTTTGCTAGTGATCTTTCATGTTGTCATAGCTTTGGTGCTTTACACGTGTTGGCATTTTATGGTGTTTTGGGTGCAAATGCTAAATACAATTTCTACGAATATTTATTATGAAAATAACCAATACTTAGGGGTTGTTTGGAATGATCTAAATAATTGTATTTTTTGATTTTTTACGAAAAGATGTGCAGAAAAGTAGAGTGGTGATGTGATCCAAAAAAGATAAAAAGATAAGCACATCCCAAACAAGCTCTTAATGTGGACAAGCCGAGGTCCACACATCTTTTGGGTAAAGGATTGAGAGTCATAACTGAGGGATGTGAGGAGTTTACAGAAAGGAACAAGACCAATGGTCATTAAAATTGGAGATCCTATGACGAAGTCGCCACTTGATTTTTTCTCAAGGTGCCTTCAAGAAACCTAAAATCCTTAAAAGAAGACTTCATAGATAAGGCACATGCTTCAACCAAAGAGGACTGAATTCGGGGGGGTCTAAGGCATAAGATGGGAAGGTGTGAGACAACTATTTTGCCCAACCATTAGGTTGGCCTCTGCTCGGTTTTATTAGTTCAATTACTTCAAATTTGTTAAACTTTTAGATTCATGATGATAGATAAGGAAAGCAGTAACATGTTACAAATTAAGTAGGATTTAGGCAATGAATGAGAATAGCTGCTCATTCAAGCTAGAATCACACCAAAATGTTTGAAGGGTAAATATATTTCCAAGTGTTGAACCCCATGACTTGGGCCCCTTGAGGGCTTCACTATAGGTTTTATCTGACGAAGATGTATTTATTCAAGACTTGAAAAATGAGTGTTCCCATGAATTTTGAAAATAAGCCAAATATTTTTGAAAAGATGTCTCCACATGAATTAAAATTATACTGTCTTAGGAGAGATCTTTAAAGGGTTCGGTCCTTGTCATTTTGAGGCACAAAAAGGGTTTGGTTTTTGGCAAAACAATGAACAAAAATGGACCTCCAGGCCTAAAGTAATTCCATGTAAAGGCTAAGTTCACAGAGTTCTTCCTAATTTTTTTTTTTTGGATCTGCAAATGTTAGTTGTTAGATTAGTACCTATGAGAGAAAACCTCCCCCATCGTTGTCAAAGCACCTAAAATGCTTGCACTCCCTTAATTCAACTCCCCTAAGGGGAGTGAACCCATGACCTCTCTAGGGACTAAGCCCTAAGGAAGGCATGGTATGGTGGCTAATTAGGCTAGGCCTAGTTGGTTACATAGTTCTTCCTAAATATACTTCCATATCATTGTCATAGGGCAACAGCTCAGCTCTAGGACTAAGTATTATAGCTGGTCACAATGGGGTGTCTACACATATGCGCTCTCTCTCTCTCTCTCTGGGGCAAAGATACCATGATTTATTTCTAAGTATATATTACGAAAATGACTAATGCCTATGCATTATTTGTTATTATTTTGGTGATGCAAGGGTTTAATAAGATATTGCAAAAATTCTTATGAAAATAATCAATACCTATGTGTAGTTGCTGACTTCTTTTAACTTATATTTTCAACACCAGGTTTGCTATAATGGGATTGATGACGAACTACTTTGGGCCTGCTCGACCAGCACCACCCCAAAATTAAGATTTCTTAGATCTTGTATTCGGATGTTACAATTAATCCGAGCATCCTTTTTGCGTTAATTGCGTTTCAACTTAATTAAGTAGCGAAATTTGATGTGAAAAATTCAAAGATTAACCTAGATGTACCCTCTGATACTGGATATGTTTTCATTTTTGGCTCTCACTGAACCATCTTTTTGTGGTTATTCTGCTTTGATTTTTTAAGTGTTGTGGTATTGTTCAGTGTGACGTAGTAAACAACCACTCTGCTTTGATTGCATTGATTATTTAGAATTTTATGGCTATTACAGTGCCTGCTGAAATTAGTTTAGGCCTGTTTGGTTGCCACAAGATTTGAAGCTCACACAGAAATTAAATAATTAGATGTGTTAGGCAGGAAAAGTGAAACCGCTAAAAAATTTAGAAAATTTATTTTCTTTATGAAACTTTGTATTTGATTATTTCTATTAAAATATAGGATTACCTAAATGTAGAATTAAGAGATAAAAATGTATTTGGCTGGATGCTCTCACAGAGGTTGATTTGGTATGTTGGTGAATTATATACTAGTTGCAGTCTTGAATTATATTTACAGTTTTTTGTTTACTAAAACTAGTCTGTTGTTTATTTTTATTTTAAAAAAATTAGGAGAAATTACAAATAAATAAATAAATCTAGGGTTGGGGATTTTTAATAAATGAATCATGAGTTTTAAATTTTATTAATTTAAATTTTAATATTTTAATTTATTTTCAATCTAAATTATTTGTCTAGTTCTATTAAGTAAAAAACTAGATAAGTTAATGCCTTTGATATGATATGTTGGTGAATTACTATTGTTGTTTTTAATCTAAATTATTTGTTTAAAAACGAAAGGCAAAATCAATGTGACAAAAACATTAAATGCATAGAATAAACACATGTATGCATCAAGTGTGCGTACACCAAGTCTCCAAGGGATTTTAGTCTAGTTAGCGGCCACCAAGTCTCTCCTAAGGAGAGATTTTGGAGGGTAAATTTTTGGGCTATTTTGGAAGTGAGTTAAAAGCGACTTCTTAGTTTTTAATTCACTTTCTTTTCTCATAAAAAAGTTAAAAAAAATTAAAAAGTAACTTTTAATCATCTTTTCAAAATATTTTTTTTTTTTATAAGGTGGGTGTAAGTTTCAACCCTTTTAATTTAACACCTAATAACTGACTTTTACCGGAGAAAAAAAAAAAGAGAAAAAACCATAGAACTTTGATGATAACAAAGGAACTTATAATGTTATGACAGCAAGAAGTCCTTTTCCCATGACTGAATCAAGAAGAATTTTACAAAATCGAGTGACAAATTACAAATATCGTAATAACGTAGGACAAAATTCATATCGTTTGACTTTGACAGATACACTAAATCCATAGAAGAAAACCAAACATATCATATCGATTTAACTTTGATAAATACACTAAAAGCTTGTTTAGAAAGAATATTTAGGCTAAAATAGTTATATAAGATAAAATATGTTATTTTAGTTAAATAGGATAAAATATCATATTCAATCCATAATTTTTTTTTTTTTTATAACAAAAGTCAAAAAAGTCTATTTCAAACGAAACTTTTTAGTCTCAAGCTAAAATAACTAAAACACTAAAGACGTTGAAACGCCAACCCACATCCCAAACAAGCTCTAAATCCATGGAAGAAAAACAATCATATCAAGGTTAAAACTCAATACACTGTCTATAGAAGAAAACCAAACATATTATACCGATTTGATTTTGACAAATACACTAAATCCATAGTAGAGAACCCAACACTAGGGTTGTTTTAGGAATATGGTTAAAAATTAATTTTTTGACTTTTTAAAAAATATATATAAAAAATGTGAGAAATGATGTAACTTAAAATGTGTTAAAAACTAAAAGATGACTTTTAATCATAGAAGAAAATCAAACATGTCATATCGATTTAATTTTGACAAATACACTAAATCCATAGAAGAAAATCCACCATATCAGAAGTCAAAACTCAATAGGTCTAAGTAATTGAGGTCTCTTTTGGCAAAGAGCTTAAAAGTAATTTTTTGACTTTTAACCTCTTTTGAATCACATTAGATGTGTTTGGTTTGCATTTTGAAAATTTGTTTTTGAATAATATTTTCAAAAACATGTTTGGTTACAAATTTTTTTAAAAAAAAATTTCAAAATTACTTCTCTCTATTACACATTAATCAATCACATTTTCTCTCTCTTTTCTCATTATCAATCACTTTTTCTTCCATACATATCCATTCAATTACAACAAAATATCAAATCATCCAAAACTTCCAAACTTCAAAACTATTTTCAAAACATACAACCAAGCAAATCAAAAAAATTTCTAAACTCTCTCTCTAATTTTTTTTTTTTAAACTTTATCTCAAAACACAAACCAAATACACTCATTATCTCTCTATTTTTTTACACATTTAAAAAAAAAAAACAAAAAATCCATCTTTTAACCTACTTTCCAAAATGCACGTGAGGGTTGATTTTGGAAAGTGACTATTTTAATTGATTTTTTTGACCTTTTTATGTAAAAATATATAGAATAATTGATTTTTTTTTATAGTAATTTTTTAAACTTTTTTAGATTGTTTACAAAACAATCCGCAAGCTGTAAAGAAGATGACTTAGAAAGATGAAATGTCAAGAGTTCTTAAAAAATGTCACAAATTAATTTTCACCAGTAATTTGTATGAGTTTACATGAGACCCACACAAATCAATGAGACCCACACAAATCAATGGCCAAGAGACTTTGTTTAGGAAATAATAGTTTTGGTCTAAAAGTCTAAAAGTTATTAAAGAAATTAAAAAGTCTACGAATTATACCAAAAAATCAAAGATTCTTTTGTTTTCTCTATTTTTTGTAAATCTTTTTATAAAAAATTATTTTAAACATATAATTTTTTTTACCTCATATTTTAATAAAAAAATTAAAAAATTATTAAAATAACCGGTTTCGACCAGTAGTGAATAATACGCATGTAGTAGGTGGATTACGCTACTCAATGTTGCCCGCACTCGCTCAAGCCATTCTTGTGCCTTGTCATGTCAAGTCATAGAATTTGCTTTCATGATTTGTTTTTGTATTTTTCTGGTTGGCAATGGGATATTTGTTTGGGTTTTTGAGCTAATTTATGGCTTCGTTTGGTGGAGTTTTCAAAATCTAGTTTCACACTCACTTTTGAGTATGATGTTTGTTTACGGTTTTTAAATCATAATTTTACACTCATTTCTCAAAACTCAATTCAAAATATAATCATTATTTTTCAAAACTCATAACCAAACACATAATTCAAAACTCTTTTCAAAACTCTATTCAAATCAATATTTTAAAAATATTTTAATTTTATTAAGATTTTAAATATTTTAATATTTAAATATGTTATGATTTTTTTAATTTTTTAATTTTTTTT